ATTATTATTATTAAAATGATTTGGATGTCATATCTGATGGATTTTTGCAGAAAGACGTTTAGTTGTTCCAGTTGGGGCTTTTTTGGGTGTTGGTGTTTAATGACTCAAATAATCTGCCCTTTGACTCAGTCAGTAGTTTGCTATTTATGACTGGACGTGAGACTCTGACGTCTGAGTGAGAGAAATAATTGTAAAAAAAAGTTCAAATTATGTGTAAATGGCATTGAAACTGAGATTTGCACTGTGGATATTTTAAACCATCTCATCTGATAGTTTTTAGTGTTTATTGTTCTTGGCTGAGTTCCTCACCTTTTCCTCTGCTGTTTGGCTCACAGCATGAAGAAGCAGAGCGAGGAGAGTTAAAATTGTCTTATTAACTGAAGGATTGATTCAAAACATCATTGAATGTTAGTGAGGAGTGACCTTTGAAGGAACACCGACAAAGTTACTTTGCACAAATTGGACTAAGACACAAACAGCATTTAAACTGCATCCATCTAACTACTTGGTGTCTTAGCACAAAGTCTAAAACATTATTTAGCTTGGCTGAGGGCTTCTAAACTCTCATTTGTTTGATATGCATGAAGAGCTTTCACCTACATAGATTCCACTTTTAGAAGTATTACATAAGATGCTTGCTTGACCTCCAGCGTCCAGTGGCCTGGTTAGGTTTAGGTTTAAATGAAGCTTTTGCCTGTATGAGATACCAAAAAGGGAATTTTATAAGATAAGAATTGTGGGAGAGTTGATTTAAAGGTCTTAGTTTCTGAATTGTTGCTTATTTAGCACATAGCTAACTTACCACTTCCTTTTCTGGTAGATGTTGCAAGGTTAGTTGGGATGAACGCATATTTGTGTGCATGCTTAGAAGTTAATACCAGCCTCAGCAGCTAGGAGGCCACACACACCTCAGGGGCACACACAGATAGCCCAGTGGCTCCTAAATGTGCTAGATTATTAGACGATAGCATCTCTTCATCAACACGTCTGTTGTAGAAAGAGAGAGAGGTCTGAGATATTAGTCCTGGAAAGTGATAATGACTCAGTGAATCCCCCTTCAGATGTTCAGGCTGTTGGGAAGTGCTGAGCATGAAGCTACAGTACAGCTAACAGGCCACAGTGCCTCCTTAGCACCACCGTGTTAATCATCTCCAAATCAGGAGATGCTTATTGAAATGGCTGCGGGCCTGTTCTGTTCGGCTTTCCCTGCACCACCATAATTGCGAGGAGAGTTGGCGATGGCAGCTGTAGGCTCTCATCTCACAGTGTGTGGAGTAAAGAATCCATGGGGGAAATCAAGGCCAACTTCGATTGCTGCTTTAGTGAGACAGTGCAGTGGACTATCATGTACTGACGGTCAGAGGAAGAGCGGCTTAGAGTGGAGGTCATGGCTATCGGGTTTGGTTCAGTGTTTGTGCACAGCTGATCTTCTTGGTGGACTGTATGTTCTCTCCATCATGCTCAAGATATGGATTGCTTAGATTAGTGATTATTTTCTTTGTTCCCTGATTGCAAAGACTTGGAGAACAATTTCATTAAAACAAAACAGACAGTGTGACAGGGTTAGTGGTGACGTTGGACTCAGGGTTAACACTGAGCGGGACTAAATGAGTAAAATACAGTTTATGTGGTCCTCTGCATGAAAGGTCATTTCTAAGTGCTTTATGACGAGTAAATAGTAATCAGCTCACTCTCTCGTGACTTTCTCTTCATGCAGCGGTAATTCAGCTTCACCTACTGATGACTGTAGTCTTTGCTCTGCTCTGCAGCCTCAGTCAGTTCCACATGCTGCCACGTGATCTATTTCTCCACTTTCTGCAGGTTTGGCTGCTTTGCAGGTCACAGAGACACCAGAATCAGAACTTCCATCAGCAGCTGCTTCCAAGGCAGTGGTGCTGTCTGTTGCTCTAACGAAGCAATGAAAAAGACCTGAGAAAGGAAGTGCTGCAACTTACTGTTTAGCAGTCACTAAAACACAAAGATGAGAGTAGTGGAGTTGTGTACCAGTAAATCGGATGCAGATCAGTTGCAGTTTAGGTTATAAAACCTAAACTTAATATTTGAAATGTATGAACTTGGACGATCTGTGTAATTTGCCAAAGAAAATTATGTATAAAAAATAAAAGCACCTCTCTGATTTTGTGTCGTTTCCCCGACTCCTACCAAACCAACAGTGAAGCATGCAGACTGGACTGTTGGGGTCTGAGGACTTTATGTGGTAACATTCTAATGAATGGCAGGACCCAGGGTTGGGTGTACCACCGAACATTGCAATGAATGAATGTTGGAGCTGCTCAGTGCTTCCATCAGGTCTAATAAGACTGACAGAGAAAACCATAGCTGGTACGCTCCTAGTTACTAGCACAGCATACTGAAGGTTTATAATCTTTTATCTTTCACACTTCATTTTTTGCTTTATCTCATTGACTGCGTTGCATTTTTAGAAACAGTTTTTACCGTCAAAACATCTTCCAAAGCTTTATTCTATGTTTTCTTAAGATGAATAGCCATTTTACAGGACCTGGTTGAACTTATACAGTAGTATATGGTATCATAGAAGAAAATACAAGAAGCCCAAGCCAACCACCCCCAGATCTCATTACCGAGAACCAGCCTATTCATTTATGTGCTCTCTAACGGATGTTTGTTTTGGGTCTATATCTTTTGACTTATCTGAGCTACCCAACTAAGCCCTGATGTATTTAATAGAGGACATCCTGGGCTTTCCACTGATATCTCATGTGTTTGGATGGGCTGTTTTAGCTCCAAAGAGGAAGGAAATCACACAAAAAAGTTCAGTGCAAAGGTTCTTTTCTACAGCCGTGCTGAACAGAGACGTTGCATATATGTTAGTACAAATGAAGCTTTCTTATGGTCAAGAGAACCACTAAAACAAAGTGTGACCAGCCAAGTGCAAGATCAGCACAGAATAAAATGCAACAATGGCAAGAAGCGTAATTGCCCCTTTTCTTCCCCAAATTGTACAGCATGCGTTCAGCTGGAGAGGATTAATAAGAATCAGAATGTCAGCAGACCCATGGATGCAATTCAGACTTAATAGCCCTATTTAATGTTCACATACACACTGTGATTGCACAGCACGATGCTTTAGAATACATTGCCTGTCCATCACAGATGCAAATGCAGGATTATGTTTTGATTGTACAGTTTAATATAGAAATTCAGAGCCAAACGGCAAAGATGAGCCTGCAACCATAGGGTTTATTAGCTTTTCTCATACTTATATACTTTCTGCTACTTTTTCCTCAATCAGCCAATAAGCATTAGCAGGATACCCACATTTATCGGGATATTAACATTTACCTTACTGTAAAAACTGAAAGATTAACTGTTGTAATTATCATTCTTAATAGCCTCTTCCTCTAAATATTTGTATTCACATGAGCTTAAAACTTTTCTTTAAAATATTCATATAAAGTGAAAGTTCTATGTTTTTAATCTGGGGACTTCTGTGATTATATGGATTTGTTGTTTAAGCTTAATGCTGTCAAATTTGCGATAAAGGTAAAGTTTCTATTTGACTGCTGGTTCTTTGTGTCATTAATGAGACGTCTGAATCAATCATGGGATGATTCCTTTTATGTTTCATACATGAAAATGTAGAGATGCTACCTACATACTGTACATGATGAATGTCAGATAGACCAGAATGTAATCTAATAAATACTTAAGCACTAAGCAATACAACAAGAGGAGACCTATCTTAAGGACACTGGTAGCCCATCTAGGATTAAGAGGTTCAAAATAAATACAATAAAGTGGATCATTTATGTGAAGAAGAGTGACACAAAACCTCCAAAATCCAACACCAGAGAGGTCCAGAGGTTGAGCCCTTCCAAAGTTATTTGGCTCTCTGTGCGGTATTTCTAAATGGGCATACTGTAAGAGCTCCTTAAAGCTGCAAACATATAGAAATCGATTTCTTTTGATACAAACTATGTAGTTCAGCCTGCACCATTAACTCTGAGCTTGGGCAGTAAATCCCTTTCAGTCGAGTTTAATATAAGGAGCCACAATATCATGGTTTGGTCACTGCCGTCTGATGTGATCCCATGTGTCAACAAAAGGTTACACAATACTAGAGTTTCAAAGAATGAACCATATCCAGGGTCACGTTGGCACTTTTTTAAGAATGAGGGTGACCTCAAGGTTACTGATGTGCTGCAGATAGCTGTCCACACACAGGTGAAAAATGAACTCAGTGACAACTCCAGATCAGACAAGGTAATTCACATTCGAATGACTTATATTGCACTATCACACCAACCTCCAGGTGTTATAGGGCAGCGGTCCCCAACCCCCGGGCCTCAGACCGGTCCGTGAGTCGTTTGGTACCGGGCTGCGAGAGTCGAGGCTCAGGTGTGAAATGTTTGGTTTTCAGGGTTTTTATCGGTTTTCAGCGTTATTTTGTTATCGTTTTTATCGTTTACTCGGTTTTCCTGGGTCTTTCACGCGTGTTATGAATAAATTTTCTTTTTTTCGGTACCGGTACTGGTTTTATTTTGTTGTATTTATCCGCGACACCTTAAAGGCCGGTCCGTGAAAATATTGTCGGGCATAAACCGGTCCGTGGCGCAAAAAAGGCTGGGGACCGCTGTTATAGGGGTTTAAGCATCAGCAGTGCAGCAGTGGCACTGACATGGGATAAACTGAAACATGTAAAGCTCAAACAGACTACCACTGGGAAGGAGTTTTAGGGACGTGCGTGATGCAGTACCTGTTTGAGGTAGCTCGAAGGTTTTGCTGCAGTTCCTATAAACACTTCTTTTCAAACATACATGTACCTTTCTTGTTTGTCTGTCTAATATGTTATTTTCATTCTAAAAAAATGAAGCCATCTAGTAAGCGTTTGTCTTTCTTTTTAGATTTCACATTTCTGATCCTATTTGGCTGACTTTCAACAGTATTGTCTCTCAGTCCAAAACACTCTCTTCAGCATCTGCTTGAAATGAGACTTTTCCCTCCTCGTTTCTTTGCAGTGCCTTTCCGTGAGGCTCCAGCCTACTCCAAACGCAGAAGGGGTCCATCTTCTGGCGACGGCAGTGGAGACGGCCAGTCGGCCTCTTCGTTATCAGCGCCACGGGTCCTTCTGCGCTCCAACAGCGATAACAACCTAACAGTCAGTCAGTACCAGCAGCAGCAGCACGGTTCTCCTGGCAACTGGGCCCCCCATCTGCAGCAGCACCAACACGCCCAGCACCAATCACACCGGGCGCCCCAGCAGGGTCACTCACAGCCTGGCTCCTCAGCATTACATCGCAGCCTGTCACCCCAGCTGCTCCAGCAGATGCCCAGCGGCAGCCCCAATGGAAATGTGGTGGTTCGGACCATGGGGAGAGGTGCAAGGAGCCGGTCACCCTCCCTCAGCCGGCTGGGGGAGGAGGCCAGACGGGCTGCACCTTCACAGCGCCAACCAAGGTGAGCCTCTTCAGGACACTGAAGTGATGGGCTGTTTGTATTTGAAAAACACACACTTTAATTTTCATGTTTTTTCTTTTCACCTGATCTAGGCTGACAGACATGAAGGTTGGGGGTCGAAAAATAACTCACAAAGATTTAAATTTCAGTATTTTGCTGATTAATTCTGCAACACGCCGGGACTGGGGTTTGATCTCTTTAATGACAACATACAAAAGCCATTACTGTCATTTTACACCTGCATGATGCTCCTATTGAAATAGATTGAAATCGCCATTAAACCATAATTTTTATACAGCTGTAAAATTACAGTTTACTATGGCTGTTCCATGTGATAAGATGCTGCATTGCTAAGTTATCAGTAAGGTTGGTTAACGAAAGTGGAGCACAACCTTTTTTGCGCCACAGACCGGTTTTATGTCAGACATATTCGCAGATAAATACAACAAAATAAAACGATACGACCAAAACCAAAACTGTGGTGTTTTGTAAATTTAATAATAAATACAAATTCACTGTGTAATTGTGTAACTTTATTAGCAGCGTCCTCCTAAAACGCACCAACAACACTGAGAGTAACATCCTCCTCTCTGCCCCTTAATGTACTCTGGTCGCTATGGTAATATGTAAATATTTCTTTCAAAATAAGACGCACGACTACAACACGAGAAAAGACCCAGGGAAACCGGGTTAACGATAAAAAACCTGTAAACCATAAATTTCATACCCGAGCCTCAACTCTCGCGCCCTGGTACCAAACGACCCACGGACCGGTACCGGTCCATGGCCCGGGGGTTGGGGACCACTGGGTTATGCAACTAAATCAAAAATCAATAGGTAACCAGAGTATTTCTCAACTCCCCTAAATTATGACCTATCCTTTCACATAGAAAGGGTAGTGAAGCCATGTACCGTGGCTGCAGCGCTGGCTAGTAGTGGGAGGCTGCTTAACCTACTAGAACCAACAGGTAACTGTTTAATTGATATTTTTGGTGTCAACAAGAAAGGACAGAAGTGTCGATTTGTATTTGGAGTATTAACGGTTTAAAAAAGTGCAACAGGGGGCTTGACTCACTTTTCAAGTAAGCATCATGTGGCCATTTGAGGAATTGCAGTTTTTGGTGCTTTCACATCGGCTTCATTTTACTGGACTGAAAAATATGTATCACTGGTTCCCCTGGAACCACTCTGGCTTCCTACAGCAACTATGGCAACCGTTGCTATGGTTGCCTGGAGGCACTTTGCTAATGTATGCAAGTTTGTATGTATGCAGTTGGTGCACTTCACATATCTGGCTTAGTGTGTGTGTGTGTGTGTGTGTGTGTGTGTGTGTGTGTGTGTGTGTGTGTGTGTGTGTGTGTGTGTGCGTGCGTGTGCGTGTGTGTGAGCACACCTACACACCTGCACAGAAGTTCACTGAGAAATGCCACCATGCATCTGCACATCTTTTTGTGATGGTGTTTGCAGGAGCACATGATTCCCAGACGATTAACATGTGATGGGTAACCATCAATCCAAATTAAAACACATGCTCTGTGGTCTTTTCCCCTGCCTCCTCTTCCTCCTCCTGTTTCTTGGCAGATGGACACATTTACAAGCACTCTGCCACACCATCACTACCCACACTGTCTAGCTCAGCCCATGTCCGATGTCAGAGAGAGAAGTGGAAAGAAGAGATGCACTTCACGTTATAGAAAAGATGTGAAGACAAAGCTGTAGTGTAACGATGGGATGAGATGAAGAACAGAGTAATGAGGAGGAGGCAGAGGTTGCTGAAGGAGAGAGAAAGGAAGTTCAAACTATGGCATGTAGAGTGAGGGCAGAGGGGATTGAGTCAAGGCAAGAAAAGTGATGGGGGAGATGAAAGAAGGGGAAGAGCAGTGGAGGAGGACAGTTGTCTTTGCTTCCGCAGTAACATGAACATCACCATCACATCTTTTGACATACTTTCAATAAGACGCTCATGCGGCTTGTAGAGGAAAAGCAGGGTAGCTGCTGTTCTCAACATTTTCATGTGTTTAACTTTACTAAACTCACGTTTGCTTTGCTGATAGCCGATGAACATGAACAGATAATATAATGCTGTCAAGCAATCAAGCAGAAGTTCTCAGCTGTTTCATTTAACGTGGTTGATTTTCATTTGATTTTGATTGTGATTGCTTTCGAAAGGCTTACATGAATATATGATGAGGAAGTTTTAAGTATGTGCACTTTTACTGAGAGGAGAGGTTCCTTTTCTCCAATTCTAGATTTGGTGGGTTTCATTAGAGTACTTAGAAATGCTCTCTCTTTATTGTCTACCAGATTTGCCACACATTTGTTTTTAGAATTTTGTCGAAACGCAGTGTTTTAATAGGTCTAATAATTAAAAATATCCAACTCGTTTTCTTTTAGCAGGTGTGGCCAGGTGTGTGCATAGGTGGATAAATCTGGCAGAAACTGCTCTTTATATAGGTCAACCTTTTCCAGCCTGCCCTACTTATATGCCAAAATCATGTAACACAACATTTTTTATCAATTATTAGCTATTAAAAAAACAGGGACACGTGACATTTTTGCAGAAAAAAGTATCTGATATACTTCTCTGTCTCTTTTTCATGTTTAATCAGTTAGACTAAATTTAAACACTGACTTCCAAAGTTGGTAAATCAAAATATAATTTTACTGAATTGGTATTTTTTTAGTGAGATTTTAAAAGATGATAACAGGAAAGAACTTAAAATTTATTGTATTATTCACCTAATTTAATCACACTGGTCTCATTTGTGCTCTGAGTCATTAGGCTGCTTCAGAGTCACCTAAACACCAAAATTAAAAAGTAATTTTCATGATTAATAAATAATATTAGTAATATTTTATATTAGTTATTATAGATATTTTAAAAATCTGTTTGTATATAGTTTTGTGCCATAAAAAATATGAAATAGAGCACACAGTACATGAATTTCATGTACTTTAGTTTTTGTAAAATAACTTCATGCTTCAGTATGAAATAAGTGAAAAGTTCACATTTATAATGTAATGATGATTGTGTAAAACACTGCGTATTGCATCCAGAAGAAGAAATAAATGGGTATTTAAAGCATATACTCAGGCCTCAGTTGCATTTGAAGCCTTGTGAAGTGCAGCCTAAAAAAACAATAAAATAAATACATATTTAACAAGTACATTTGATTTATTTATTTATTTATTGAATTGCAAATGACTTTGGAGTACACAAAATGTACAAAATATACTGTGGTAGAGAGGGTTAACTAAGAGGAAATATAGGACCTTACGTGTGACTAATAAATACCCTATAATGTAGTATATGCACATGTAGTATGTGATCCTAATCATAAGATGCATACATATACACTGCAAGAGTTCTGATATAATAATTAAAGATTCTGATAAAAGACGAGATCAATTAAAAATCAGGTATTTGTTTGTTTTTAACTTAATATAAGACTATATAAAAGTCATTGTGGTTTGAGCTGGTGCAGGAAGGCAAGTGGGTTCGAACCAAAAGAAAAGTATAAGCTGGGTAATAATTACAATATAAAAATGACTAATAATGTTGGTCTGTGACCCAATCCGTATTTTTTCCATCAGGGTTAGTAATGAGGGACATTCATAGCCTGGGCTCAGTAGAATTCCTCATGGCCCAGTTCTAGAAACCAAGCAGCCCATGACCTTTTATTGTATTTCCCCTTGGTCACATTTATATGACTGAAAGTCGATATTCAGTACAAATTAACAATAACACATTTAAAAACACTTATGTAGCTCTCTGCAGTACAGTCCATGACTTTGGTGTGGTTATTTTCCTAATTTAGTTATTGTGTTTTTTATAATGAGCACTTTCTGTTCGAGGGATGGATAACCAATGTTTCTCGAACTGTGTTTCCGTAGTATCGTTAGGAGTCTTGGTTGTGTTATACAGCACTGTAGTCTCCCTTTGTAAGATTTGTAAAAAGTTGAAATCAGATCAGATTTACACACGCCAAAATTGCCAATTCTTTAAAAAATGAAATATAATTTGTGTTAACTTTATTTTAAAATAGTTCAAAGGTACTTATTACAGCTGTTTGGGCACAAAAAATGAGCTATGAATTTGGAAAAAAAAATGTACTGCAAATGTCGGGAATTTACAACAAATTTTATTTCTGTTCTCAAGTCTTCTGTTCTCGTCATCAGATCTCATGAAAAGGCTTCAACAGTAATCGCTGCGTTCTACATTAGAGCTCCATTATTTATGTAAAAAAACGTATAAAAGCACATTAGTGAGGCGCACTGTTACACTAGCTGTTGTTCGTCTATTACTGTGAACTCTTATAGTCAAGTTTAGCTCATCTCAGTCCCACATATTAAATGTCTCTATGCATGCTCAATCATCCAGGTAAGGAAATCCCAAAAAGTTGATTCTGTTCATCTGGATGTAGAGCTAACTCGTTATGTCCAGATGAACAGAATCAACACCGTGTTTATTTCTAAAGTGCTTTACAAACCTGATCATTGCGGCGTTTCCATTTGAGTGCAGCTAGCCAAACAGCAAACAGTCAAATACTCCTAAAGAGACACAGAGTTGGTTTCTTCACATCAAACTCAATGTTGCAGCCAGCGACAGCCCAAAAAGCCCAAAAATGTCCGTTTTTGGGAGCAGGGCTCAATGGTGTGGATTAATCTGTTGGTTCCAAACTACAACACAATTTGTGTCGTGTGTAGAAACAGCATGTGACTAATATCCAAAGACAGCAAAGCTAGAAAAAAAAAGAGAAACTCAAGGATGCATTGTTGTTTTTGACCTTTCCACAGCAGGTATAAACATGCTGTGTGTAACAGTATAATCTTTGCCTGAAAGTATCGTGTTGCACATGTGTACATACAGTACATACAGTGTGTATATATATAGAGGACATTCAGGTTAGGACTCTCATTGAGACCTATTTATGTGTGCTCAGCTCCTGAGGCACCTCGTTGGATAATTGCCCTCATTTTTAGAACCAATTCACTATCAA